CTTCTTCTTCTTCTTCTTCTTCTTCTTCTGCCCTACTAGGAAGTAATGGAATAACAAATCCTGCAAAGATGGGAAATAATACAATAATACTTAACCAAGGCAATTGATTCATAATGAAAAATATATCGATTTAAAATAAAGAATATTGAAGAAAAGAATATTCTTAAAAATCCATGATTCATTCAATTTTTTAAAAATATGTTCTTCTTCTTCTTCTTCTTCGTCTTCTTCTTCTTCTTCCTCGTCTTCGTCTTCTTCTTCTGGTGGTTGTTGTTGTGGTTGTTGTTGTTGTTGTCGTTGTTGTTGTTGTTGTTGTTGTTGTTATTGTTGTTGTTGTTGTTGTTGTTGTTGTTGTTGTTGTGCAGGTCGACAGTGTGGAGCACGGCAATGGCGCCCAGGTGGTTGTGGTTCTGGTTGTTGTTGTGGTTGTTGCTGTTGTTGTTGTTGTTGTTGTTGTTGTTGTGCAGGTCGACAGCGTGGAGCACSGCTATGGCGCGCAGGTAAGTACCGCTGACGCAGGTATGGCCACCGCCCCTCTTCTTCTTCTTCGACAGCGTGGAGCACGGCTATGGCGCCCAGGTGGTTCTTTTTCTTCTTCTTCTTCTTCTTCTTCTTCTTCTTCTTTTTCTTGTGGTTGTTGTTGTTGTGCAGGTTGACAGCGTGGAGCACGGCTATGGCGCCCAGGTGGTTGTGGTTCTGGTTGTTGTTCTGGTTGTTGTTGTTGTTGTTGTTGTTGTTGTTGTTGTTGTTGTTGTTGTTGTTGTGCAGGTCAAGAGATGTGGAGCACGGCTATGGCGCCCAGGTAAGTAACGCTGACGCAGGTATGGCCTCCGCCCCTCTTCTACTTCTTCGACAGCGTGGAGCACGGCTATGGCGCCCAGGGAAGTACCGCTGCGGCAGGTATGGCGTCCGCCCCTCTTCTTCTTCTTCTTCTTCTTCTTCTTCTTCTTCTTCTTCTTCTTCTTCTTCCTTCTTCTTCGTATTCTTCTTCTTCTTCATGTGGTTGTTGTTGTTGTTGTTGTTGTTGTTGTTGTTGTTGTTGTTGTTGTTGTTGTGCAGGTCGCCAGTGTGGAGCACGACTATGGTGCCCAGTTAAGTACCGCTGACGCAGGTATGGCCTCCGCCCCTCTTCTTCTTCTTCTTCTTCATGTGGTTGTGGTTGTTGTTGTTGCTGTGGTTGTTGTTCAGGTCGCCAGTGTGGAGCACGGCTATGGCGGCCAGTTAAGTACCACTTACGCAGGTATGTGTTGTTGCTGTTGTTGTTGTGCAAGTCGCCAGTGTGGAGGACGGCTATGGCACCCAGTTAAGTACCGCAAACACAGGTATCGCCTCCGCCCCTCTTTTTCTTCTTCTTCTTCTTCTTCATGTGGTTGTGGTTGTTGTTGTTGTTGTTGTTGTGTTTGTTGTTCAAGTCGCCAGTGTGGAGCACGGCTATGGCGCCCAGTTAAGTACCGCTGACGCAGGTATGTGTTGTTCTTGTTGTTGTTGTACATGTCGCCAGTGTGGATGTAGAGGTCGCTAGTGTGGAGCACGGCTATGGCGCCCAGTTAAGTACGG